TTTTTTTTTTTGTTAATAACTAAAAAAATAATTCAAAGATCATATAATTTTATTTCAGATATCTTTTGTTTTCATTAATTAAAATGATTTCATTATCACAATTAAAATTTGGTAGTTTATCATCTAGTTTAATTAAAGAAATGTTTCTATTACATATTCGTACAATGAGTACTATCTCAATAAATACTCATAATCAAAAACAAGATAAAACTCAAGTTAATACAGGAATTCTTTTACTTAATATGGGTGGACCAGAAACAACTAATGATGTATATGATTTTCTTAATCGTCTCTTTTCCGATAAAGATCTTATACCATTACCTGTACAAAAGTATATTTTATAATTCAAAAAAAAAAAAATTTTTATTTAAGTTTTTTGTTTGTTTGTATTAAGAAAATTAGCTCCATGGATTGCTCGTCGTCGTACACCAAGTATTCAAGAACAATATGCAAAAATAGGTGGAGGATCACCAATTAAAATGTGGACAGAAAAACAAGGTCAAGGAATGATTAAAATTCTTGATCAAATATCACCATCAACAGGTATAGAAAAAAAAAACAAAAAAAAGAACTTTTTTACATAGAAAATATAAGTTTTATTTTATTGAATTTTAGCACCTCATAAATATTATATTGGTTTTCGTTATGTTAAACCATTAACTGAAATGGCTTTAGATGAAATTGAAAAGTATGAATTCTTGATTCTTTTTCAAAGAATGAAATAGTCGATAACTATTAAAATTTAATTTCTTCTATAGAAAATATATCATTTTTAACTATTGTAAAATACCCATGGAAAAATTTTTCAAGAAAAAACCGTGGTTTCATAAACCGCGAAAGTCAGACCTTTTATGCGGTTTTTGAAACCGGCGAAAATCGTGGTTAGACCTGCAAAAACTCAGCTCGGACCGCAGTTTTCTCGGTTCTCGCCGCGGTATTTGCAAACCGCGGTTAACCTCAGATTACCGCGGTTTTTTTTGGAAGAATTTTTCCATGGGTAGTATAAAAGAAAATTTTAAGAACACTGTTGTTGAAATTTTTCTACTAGCGTTTAATAAATATTGATATAAATTCATTGAAAAGTTATTCCTAACAGTGTACATCAAATTCTAATGTTACAAAAAAACAATAGTAGAACTTCGACTATGTGACATAGAAGAAATCAAAGTTTTTTTTTTTTTAATGAAAATTAATTTTTTAGAGATCGTCCTAAACAAATTATTGCTTTTACACAATATCCACAATATAGTTGTTCAACAACGGGTAGTAGTTTAAATGCTATTGCAAAATATTATGAAGAAAAAAAAGAAAAATTACAATTAGAAAAAGCAAATAAAATATCATATTTTGATGAAAAAAAAGATATTCAAACGAAAGAAGATCTTAAATGGAGTGTTATTGATCGTTGGCATACACATCCTGGACTTATTGCAGTAAGAAAAAAAAACAAAAATCAGTGTTATTCAAAACAAACAAAATAGTTTTCTTTTTTTTTAAGGCATTTGTTGAGAATATTCGTAATGAATTGAATAAATTTCCAGAACATGTACGAAATGATGTTGTAATTTTATTCTCAGCTCATTCATTACCAATGACAGTAAGTAAAATAAATAAAGATTCTTTTTTTTTTTTCATATAATTGTTTAGGTAGTTAATCGTGGTGATACGTATCCAGCTGAAGTTGCTGCAACTGTTCAAGCAGTTATGGAATCATTAAATTTTTCAAATCCATATCGACTTGTTTGGCAATCAAAAGTAAATTTTTTTTTATTATGAAAAATCAAAGAATAATTTCGATTATATTTAAAATTTTAGGTAGGACCTCGACCATGGCTTGGTTGTGCAACGGATAATGCTATTAAAGGTTTAGCTAGAAATAATCGACGTCATATTCTTTTGGTACCAATTGCATTTACAAGTAAATATATAAATTCGTTTGTTTTTTCTTAAATTTCACTATAATTTAATATTTGATTCTTATCAGGTTTTTACCGTATTCCTAAAACTCGAACATAAAATTTTCTTCTGATTACATAAAATAGTTGATCGTATACAAAATGAAGTATCTTCGAGCTTTACAGGAGATTATCCGACTTAGTTACATACATCACAAGAAAAGTTCAGAAGTCCTTTTTTTCTTAAAAAATGACGCAAAAAAAAATAATTGTTATGAAGAACTTGAAAATGTCTGATTTTGTAGACAATGTATTACTCCGTGTAATCGAAAGAAACTTGTCTTTTTTTTTTAGAGTTCTAGATAGTGCAAAACTAGATTCTGAGAATACGATGAAAATTTCATTTATCTAAAATCCTTGTTGCATACGATCTTTTCTACTTAAATTACTATTTGGATTTTTCATGCGAATTACCATGTCTCGATGAATTCTATATCATCGTTCGTCTGTGATTCGGAATTATTGAAAAATCTTTACTGTTCAGAATTGAATTTAACAAGAATAGGATCAGCTAAGAATACGGTGGTATCACGACACGAACAACATCTATAAACTAAGTTTTTGGTTTTTAAGAAAAATTTCTTTGTATATTATCGCATCATAAGACTTTTTTTTTTCTTTCTAGGCGATCATATCGAAACTTTACATGAATTGGATATAGAATATAGTCAACATCTTGCTAAAAGTGTAAGTTAATTTTTTAATTTTATTACAATTAATATCTTATATTTAACATATTTAGGCTGGTGTTGAAATGATTCGTCGATGTGCATCATTGAATGATAATCCTTTATTTATCAAAGTAATTTTTGTGTTTATTTTTGTTTAATATTTTAATAAATCTATTTTAGGGTATGGCTGATATTGTTGTAAAACATTTACAAAATCAACGTCGTCATACAACACAATTACCTTTACGTTGTCCTGGTTGTGAAAATTCATCATGTGAACGAATGCGAAAATTTTTTTGTTCATCATCTACATGAATGAAAATCTTAGATAGTTTTTTTGTTTAGTTTATTTCAATGTCAAAAAGAAAAAAAAAGAAAAATATTAGTTCGAATTTTTTTGATTGATTCATCTTCAATAAAAGAGAAATGAAAAATAAAATTCTTTAAATATTTTTATCATTTAATTCATAAGTTTGTGGTCGTATATGAACATTTTCTTCTTTTCCATAATGATCTTTTCTCCATATACGATGATGAATAGATACAAATGCATATTTATTTATTGGTAATTTTATTAAATAAAGATAATTAATACCACCAACAATTTGTGTAGAGAATTTATCTGGTTTAAGATCAAATGTATTTGATATTTTATGAATTTCACGAAGTTTTTTAAATATTATGTTTTTATACTAAAATTAATGATAAATATATATGATTTTCAATAAGAGAAAAACAAATATATAAATATAGTGACTTTGAAAATCGATTATAGAAATTTAATTTAAATAAAGAAATTCTTATTGTATTTACAAAAATAATCAATTTTAGTTTTTCAGTTAATCGAAAGAAGTTTTTCTTTATATAAATTATAATTACGAAACAAACAAAAAAAATATCGATTTTCAAAGATACTGTACATGAAATTACATCATTAAAGATTTTTTTATGCTTTGGTTTGATCTTTGTAGTCCATGATGTATGACCACCAAGAATCAATGGTCTATAAATAAAAACCATACAAAAAAAAATAAAACAAAGTATACACGATAATTCAATTCTACTTTGCTTTCGATGGATTCTTTTCATTTTTCTTAGATGTAGTATTTTTTGTTGATGCACCATTATTTAATTCAATAAAAAATATTGTAATAATGCAAAATAAAATAAGAAATATATGTAGTTGCATTATGTCTGATATGAAACTTTCTTGGCAATGAGATATTCTTAATATATCTAACAATCTATTATCCAAATGGTAGCTATTTTGCGTTTCTATTTGTCAATTATACTTACGTATATCAATCAATGAAAGGATAATATATAATAAAGATCATTTAGAATAGTTACAATGATAAAGAAAAGCTAGTTTCAGTGTAAATGAATAATTACTTCCTTTCTTCTTGATAATATAAGATTTTTTTTTTTTGGAGAAAAAATTTACTGAACATCATAGAAAAACTTCTTAATTAATAGATTTCTCAATAATTTTGCACTTTAATTAGTATACTTGCATCAAAAAAAAAATGAAATATTTTAATATTGAAAACCTTAAAAGTTGACTGTTGAAATCCTGAGAATCCATTATCTAATACTTAAAATTATTTTGATATGCTAAAAAAATTCTTTAATGACACCATAAAAAATCTGAAGTCTTCTACGACGAAGAATATGGATGATTAATTATCACTTTTGAATCCTTTTTTATCGCTTTGCTAGTGCAAATCGTTAATTATGTACTCAATAACGCCTATTGCGATTTTCTTTAGTGAACTACGATCTTTGACATCCAAAAAAAGAAACACACATGACAATCAATCGAACATTTAACCAATGAAAAAAAAAACCCAACTACAACAATCGAAAGATTTTTATATTTCACTTCGATAGAGATCATAATGACCATATGTATATTTCGTTTTTTTTGCCGTTACGCCATTACAATGATTCATAACACCTATAAATAAAAAAGGTTTGAATATATATTCAAGTACAAATGAAGTGAAACGAAGGTGTCATGTGACACCGAAAAAAAGAAACTGATAAACATGCAAAAAAAAAATTCGACATTTTTTGTCCTTCTTATACGCGCATAACTAAAGAGAAATGTATTGTAGAAAGTAAATAATGTTCTTTCTTTTTTTTTTGTATAATCACTACATATCTTTGAATTACATAAGATTTTTTTTTTGTCTGTTCTTATTCTAAAATAATAAGTGTATTGGGTATTTTTTATTTATATATACGCCGCTATTGAATACATATTTCATCAATTGAAATTAGTGACTTATAGCAAGTAAGAAGAAAAATATTGTTTTATATTTTTGGATCATATATAATGTTTTTTGTTTTTTTTTCTTCTTTCAATAGCAATATGTTAGTTGTCGATTGTCTTCCACAAACAAGTGTAATTCAACAAATGACAGAAACAATGGATAATGATAAATCTTCGAATATACAGATGTCTAAACCAATGATTAATGATAATCACAATTCAATCTCTACGATTGAAATTCCACTCTTATCATTAAAACCAATTTTGGCCGTCTCATCAAATTATATTTTGGTAAATGAATATACGAAGAAAAAGAAACAATTAATACTTATAGATGAAAATTGTAATAGATCTTCAATAAATTATTCAATAGCAGAAAATATTATAGATGCACTATGGTTTGATATGGAACAAAAATTTTTTTTACTTACAGAAACAAAAATTTTTACCTTGAATCCAAATACAAAAATTATCAAATCAATATCTGATATAAAATTGAATAACAAAAAACCCTTTAAATGTTTTACAGTAATAAATAATCAATCATCATTATTAATTGTTTATGATGAATGGGAACCAAAATTTATTGATAGATGGCAAAAAAATAATGACAATAGTCATTGGATATTAAGTGAAAGATATTCATTGAATTTAACTTCGAATGAATTTATTGGAACAATTTTAGCAAACAATCAAGATGATAATGTTTATCTTGCTATGACAGTTTATAATTGTCTTACTCAACAATGGCGTATGGAATTACGATATATAGAAACATTAATTTGTTTTAAAAAAATTTTACTTCCTGGCTCTGATTTCACAGATGATTATAGAATGATTGATATGAATAATATTACATTAGATATTAAATGGTTAATATATTCAACAGCTAATAATAAGATTATAGGAATTGATTCAAATTGGAATAGAATACTTTTAAATTATAAACTTCCAGTACATAGAATGGTACAATTTAAAGAGAACAATTTAATTATACGAACGAAAACACGTATTGAAATTCATTGTTTTTTGCTTTAAATGTATTATATCTAATACATACATAAATTTTGAGGCTTGCGGATCAAATTGTATTTAATCCTTTTTTTTCTTCTTTTCTTATCTATATTTTTTATTCAATTAATATAATAAATCATAAAAAAAAATATTAATTAATATATATGATAAAGATATTTTGTATAAAAATGTTTGTTCAATTTTTATATCAATTTATACAAAACGCAAAAGAAATTTGATAGCTAAATTTGTTGTCTACATACTATAATTGTTGTTATATGATTGATAATTATTTTCAATGAATCTCTGAACAGACTTTAAAAATACGAAAACAAACAATCCTAAGAATCGATTAAAATTGTTTTTTTTTTTGTTTACGGAGTTTAATGTGATTTAATTTGATGAACTCTTGTCTAAATGAAATGTTTCATCTGTCTTGTAAAGCTTTAGTATTATTATTATTGTAAATTCTTTTTTCGCACATTCCAATTTCAACTGAAAGTTATGCGTGACGGGAAAACTATCGGAACTGATACTCTTCGTTCAAGATCCTAAGAGTTTTCGAAGCCGAATTAATATCATTCTAATGAATTAGATCATTCTATTTTTCCATCTAATATAAATTCATGGTTTTATAATATTATTATTTATGTCTGAAGAGTATTTATTAATTTTAGGTGTAGTAATAGAAACAACTACAATCACACTCTGATATAAGCATTGTGAATATTCGATAAAATTGATATCATTAACACATACGTGAGATATGATTTGCTTGATATTTGGCTCATCAATCATGATTAAATTTAGTAATAGAAATATATTAATTTTAAAGCAAAATGAAATTTCATATTCAAATTCGATTATTGAGACCTTTTTTTGGTTTCTTAAAGAAATTCTTCTTTTTTTTTTTTCTTCAAAATAACTTAAGAAGTTTAGTGAAAGCACATACTATTCATTATGTCAATACTTTTACAATGTTATAATTTTTTTTTGAAGATTTTTCTTCATTCAAACAGATCTACGATTTTTGTTTGTCTAGAACTTGAAAAAAAAATCTAATACCTGAAATAGTAAAACTACACATCATTGATTCTTCTTATGCTCGTAAATGATCCTAAACTTAAAAGTTTTATACTATTGAATTTAGAGAGTTGCAGGTCCACGTTTTCATAGACTCAGATCTGAAAGGATTAAGAGGCCTCTAACTAATTTCTTATTATTGATGTACATTAGTCTAGTAGTATCGTTTTTCAAAATATTTTCGCCTTTTTTTTTTGTTTATTCCGTTGAGATTATTTCGAATAATCTAATCTATCTGAGTATAATAAAATCAACATCTATAGTCTTTCATATCTCAATTTAATGATGCTTTTGAAATATCAATTCGATTGATAAAAATGATCTATAGTGATAATCGAGTGAAATTTATTAGGATGCATAAGTATTTGTTTTCTTTCCATTAATTTTCTATAGAATAACTGTATTAACATATCGAGATGGGTATTTTCTACAACATTCTTATATTAGTTAAGAATCACTAGCAGAGTAACATTTTGGAACACATGGAAATAATATTTCGAGATCATTATCAATAATATTTAGTATATGTATGAATAATAATAGATTTCATCTGTCAATGAGTTAACTTTATATAGATCATCAATCAACGAAAATTGACGATTTCTATCAACACATGTTACATTCGAAACATAAAAATAAATTATTACTTCGTTTTTTCGCTAAAACCTGACTTTAAATATCAATATTTATCATACAATTGAGTCATTTACTAACTATCTATGACATCACATTGTGATTCATATTTGCATTTGGTTTTTTCCTTCATCAATTAAAAATACATTAGACAACCAAACGTATAAATACGATATGTTTATTCTTTACATTTCAAGCAAAAACTAAACCACATATCTTTTATAATGCAAGTCGTATTCATTCTTTCTCTGGTGTTTATTTGTAGTACATTGCATATTCAATTAGTAGATTCATCAATTCAAACCAGAGGTCGTATTATTAATAAACCTATATGTCTAGTTTTATCTGATTGTCAAGTGAAATGTAAACGATATATAATTCGAAATCGATGTCCAACATGTGAATGTAATCCATGTGTATATGGTCAACCACTTTATCAAATATCTTGTGGTCAAGGAGATCAAAAATGTTTATTAGCAGGTGGTTTATGTAAAATTCATTCATGGTATAATAAACCTTATTGTTGTCCAAAAGAACATGATGGATATTGTCCATCAATGTCTAATGAAGATACAGATATATTATTTCCTTGTGTTCCACAATGTTATTCAGATAGTGATTGTAAAGTAGATGAAAAATGTTGTGGAACATGTATACGAAAATGTATGAAGGCTTTTATTGCTTAAGTCTTCATTCAAAAATAAATTATATTTATATATATTTTATATGTAATAATATGAATTGATGAAATATAAGAGTAGTGGTTATATTCATCAATCGGTTTTCTTTTTTATTGATGTTTATTTTTGTAAAAGAAATTTTTGATCGGAATAGAAAAAAAAACCAGTTACCACAGTGAAATGAAGTAGAATAATGGATATTAAATACTAGACTGATAGTTCATGTTTGTAAGTAAAGGAAAGATAATTATTAGTTTATTTCAATTTTTTTTTAATTTGATTAGAACAAATAAGAGAATATCTGAGTATAAATAGTAAAATTGAACTCATTTTGCAATTCTTGAGATCAAATACTATAAAAAGTAGTTTGTAAATATATTAAGAGTTACACAGTTGCCATTGTTTCTTTCATAACGTAAAGTATCAGAAAATAATCCAATATTAATACTTTTGCTTAATATACTCTTTTTTATTATTCTTAACTATTAATCAAGCAGTTATAGTGTCTAAAAAGTCAACCATGAAATAAAACTGCAATAATTCTTTAACGATTTACAAGAGCTTTTTATCATTTCATAGGATATTCTCGGAAAATTATATTTCAAAAGATTTCTTCTGTAACTATTTTCTAGCGCTTGTGACATCTTAAATTAATACCAATGAGCTACTTCTCAAAATAGAAACTTGCTCTAGAGATATCGATGTAAAAGACGTATTAGAAGTCTCAAGGTTTATTTTATGTCTAAACAATTTCAATTTTTTCAAGTAAAATTTCGCAAATGCTATTAATTTAGTCCATACTTGGAACCGGATCGGTCGCACTTTTAAAACCGGCCAAAACCGATGTAGACCGGTTTTTTATCAAATTTTAGGGCACGAAAACTAAATTAGTGTATTTTGCTCGTTTTCATTGATTTTCATGACTTCAAAGATCAACAGACATGGCGTAAACGTTTTTCACTGATAAATTTATAGTTGTTATTAAACTTCTAGCTCTAAATTTTGAACTCTAGCTTTCTCGTCGTATGGTGAGGATCTCGAACTACGCTGAATGGATTTATTATGGTCATGAAAAGTTAACAGCCCATCAGAGTCTAAATATAGTTTGAACTAGAGATTCTACTGCTCGAGATTTCGAACTCACTTTTCTAGACTTTGTTACTGGCAGTCAGAAACTCCCAATAGCTAGTTGCTACTACTTCATGCTTTCATTATTTGAATATTACAAAAAGGTCTCCTGTTATTGTAAACATTATACCAACTACTAGTCTTCTGCAACTGTAAAAATCCGCAAATATGAAAAAGGCTAAAATATGGTGTCTAGCATAAAAAGCGACCTTTCTAGCTTATTCTGTCTTCCTGGCTGTTTGCCAGTTAGATCAAGAATTTCAACTAACCGGTCCTGTCCGGTCGAAAAAAACTTGACCGGTTTCAAGTCTGACTTAGTCTAGGCCGGGCACGCTTTGCGTATACAAAATGTCTTCCAATCATATGAAATTTGCAATATCTACTAGACCTAGGACAGTCCCATATCAGTTCCGCTCTTGAGAACTGTTCAAACAGTTCTTTGATAGGAACTGATCTGTTCAACCTGTTCTTTGAAAATGGTCACAATAGTCAGTTTTTGAAAAAGAATCGGACGCTTAATCCAGTTCTTTGAAAAAGAACTGGTTACAATAACCAGTTCTCGAAAAAGAACTGGTCAAAATAGCCAGTTCTCGAAAAAGAATTGGTCACTTTGCCCAGTTCTTGACAAAGAACTGGTCACTTTACCCAGTTCTTGAAAAAGAACCGGACGCTTAATCCAGTTCTTTGAAAAAGAACTGGTTACAATAGCCAGTTCTCGAAAAAGAACTGCCGGGTGTGTACAGTTCTTAAAAAAGAACTGCCGGGTGTACACAGTTCTCGTCAAAGAACTGGTCACTTTAATCAGTTCTCGAAAAAGAGCTGGTCGCTATACCCAGTTCTTAGAAAATATACAGTTCATAGAACTGGGAACTGTCCTAGGTCTAATATCTACTGAAGCTATAATTAAGAAGTTATTGTAAAATTTTCAGTTCAATATCACAAACTTTTTTAGTGAAATTTGTGAAAGAAGGATCAAAAATTGCTCATTCATTTGACGCAATTCATTTTCTTGTTTCATCAAAGATACTCGACTACAGATTCTGCTATATTAAATTCTCAATTTTTATGCTATAGAACAGACGAGAAAAAGTCATGCACCTAGAAAATGTTCTAATGTGAAGTTTTCTCTTAAAATCGCTTTCTGACGTAATAGGATAAAATTAAAATTGAATATTTGTTCTCTCTCAGATTCTACAACTAAATATTCAATTTAATATAAAAAAAAAGCACGATCTGATAGCCATAAAGCTCATTCAAGACTTTCAAAATGCACAATCAAAAAATCCTGAACTAAGAAACAGAACAACAAAATGTTTTGAAACTTGTCTAGCGTTATATTTGTCTTTATTTGAGAATAATCATTAATTTATGTTAATAGTTAAGAAAAAAAAGACATTCCAACACTTTCATAAAAATTAATGATCGACTAACAATAATGAATAAATTATGATATTTTCACAAAAAATATGAGAAACATGTCATTAAAATGTCTAATTGCAATCGGTGTTTGAGTATTTTCGCATGTCTTCAGAAAATATTAAAACTGTAGGTACTTCCATCATAAAAGAAAATACGCAAGAATACTTAAAACACAAAAAAAAAGACAACTTTTACATTTAGAAAACGTTCAACAACTTTTCTCATAATACTTTTGACATACAAAACACATAAAAATGTCATTTTAATCTGCAAAAAAAATACATGGCAATATTCCGGAAAAAAAATATATTGTAAGCTTCTCAGCTGTAAAAAATTGCTTTTTTATTTTGTAAGAGTCTTCAGATATTTCTTTTTTATAATGAAAGTATCTATTTACTAGTGATGCATTCTCAATAAGTGTAAAATCATTCATGCGAGAAGTGCTATTAGAGTATTGAAACATGTTTACAGAATTCTTGTCAATGTAGGGTATGCATTCATTCAGAAAATGAGATTTTTTAACAATATTTAATCTTTTTCTTGAGAAACAGAATCCAGTTAAACTTGCTTTTTGACATTCTCATTTGACATTCTCTAGCAGAACATGCAATAAAAGTAAGCACATAATATCATTGCGAAGGAAATAGGATTGCAACAAGTTTTCATTTGTTACCTACAGAGAAATCAACTAGACTAGTTTTCATAGCTTAGTCAAATCTTAATAGAAATGCAATTCTTAATGTTTTTATTTTAGAACATCATTGAAACTGAAAACAGATATCTGAAATGATGATTCTTTCGTAAAACATTGAATTGCAATGATAATTTTCGAATTATCAAAAATCTAATTAATAATCCTAGACGAACTTCCTTTGGTCTGCAGAGGAAATACTTGAGAATCTTGATCAAGAAAGTCATGCGCTATGGAAAAAACTTGAGATCTGTGCAGGTCAAATGCATGAAAAAAAAAAGTTCGTCTAGGGAAACTTTCTAAATGAATAGAATTAACCCTTTCGAGGTGATGTGATTCTACAGGATTTCCAAAAACGTTTTCCCAAAGATTACAGCTCAAATGAAAAGAGATATAGAACTGATTTTTATATCAAATCAAAGCCCGTTAAAAACGAGATTTAAGAGTTTAACTGATAATTCATAGGGTGATAATAAGCTATAGAATCACGGACACTTCCAAAAATGTTAGGGATGTAACTAGTGTACTTTCATGGGTAGTCATCCATAAAAACAAAAAGTTCTCAGAAAATGTCTTCGTCTATCGGACTTTGTGGAGGTATCTGCGCTGATCATTTTGATAAAAATAATATTCTAAATTTTATCAATAATTGACGATGCTATAATTAAAATACTGAAAAACGTTATAGCTCTAGCACATAGAGCAGCTTGAAATTTTTCAGTATTTTGACCATAGCACCGTCATTTATTGGTCAAACTTAGAATATTTTTTTTTATCAAAATGATCAGCGCAGATAGCTCCACAAAGTCTGATAGACGAAGACATTTTCCAAGAACTTTTTGTTTTTGTGGATGACTGACCACTGTAAATTATAGCGTTGCCCACCGATGGGTGACATCGCCTAGAAAGGGTTAAATATTATAGTTTATTATCAATAAAAAAAAAGACCTCTTATCACTGACATCTATCGATACTATTTACTTTTTTTAATTGAGGTTATGTTAGTTGAGAAATGGTAGTTGTCATATGGTATTTCAATGAATAAATCATTAAATAAACAAAGAAAATTCTTCTCAAAATAAATTTAAAAAATTCTTCTATTATATTCTTGATAATTATTTGATTGTGACATCTGTGTATCGGTTTTCGACAATATCTGTTGGTTTTAACTTAAGATTTATTTGCCAATAGTAAATAATTCATACATATATACAACTATTCTTGTCTTTTAGTATATATATATATATATATTCAAAGAAATGGGCGGATGTGTAAGTCATGATAGAAATAATCATCGACGACGATCACATTCATCTCGAAGTAGTGCAACAAGTACATATAAATTATAATTTTAATTAATGATTAATTATTATTTTTTTGTTTTTGCTTGTTTGTTTTATTTAGCTAGTGGAACTATTGCTCGAAATAAACCATTAAATCGTTCTACATGTCGTCCGAAATGGAAATCAGATGTACCAATAACTGAAAATCAATTACGTCGTAAACGAGAAGAATATTGGGATACAGGTGAAATTTTTATAAAAAGAAAATTCTTTTATTTTCTGACGTCATTTTTACAATCTTATCAAAACATTTTATATAGGATTACATTACAAGTATCTTAGATTTTCAAAGAAGATTAAATAGTATAAGAATTAAATATCAAATTTTGTTTTTTTTTTATTATTACAAATAATCTTTTGTTATAGATAAAAACTTGAATTATATTAACAAAAATGATTAAATAAAATATTTTGTATATAACTTA